TAGGAGGCTGTGGCCCCACACTTTGAGATCCAGGAGACCATGGCCCCATGCTTTGAAACCAAGAAAGCCCTGCTTCCCACGCTCCTTCCAACAGTTCTGCTGATATCCAAACTGCTCCAGGGATGCGCCTTTTCTTTCCTTGGAGGACAACAGGTATAGCTCCTTTGGCCTGTTTTCTCCCTGTAGAATTCCAAGGGGCAGACAGGTTTCATTCCTTTCATTCTGTCCCTGTCCCTTTCAGCCTAAGCTGGTGGGTTTTTCCTGAGATCCATCTGTCACAGGCTTAATCTCCTTAACAAACAATTGAGTCACTGTTATGGATTGTGTCCCCCAAAAATATTGTTAACTTGGCTAGGCCTTGATTCTCAGTATTATGTAACTATCTTCCATTGTGTAAGCTGATGTAATTATCCTCCATTTTGTTATCTGAAGTAATTATCCTACGTGTTATAAATCCTAACCTCTATGATGTTAATGAGGCAGGATTAGAGGCAGTTACCTTTTTTTTTAATTGTGCTTTAAGTGAAAGTTTACAGTTCAAGTCAGTTTCTCATACAAAAATTTATACACACATTGTTACGTGACCCTAGTTGCTCTCCCTATAATGTGACAGCACACTCCTCCTTTCCACCCTGTATTTCCCGTGTCCATTCAACCAGCTCCTGTTCCTCTCTGCCTTCTCATCTCGCCTCCAGACAGGAGCCGCCCATTTAGTCTCACATATCTACTTGAGCTAAGAAGCACACTCTTCACAAGTATGATTTTATGTCTTATAGTCCAGTCTAATCTTTGTCTGAAGAGTTAGCTTCGGGAATGGTTTTAGCTTTGGGCTAACAGAGAGTCTGGGGGCCATGTCTTCTGGGGTCCCTCCAGTCTCAGTCAGATCATTAAGTCTAGTCTTTTTACTAGAATTTGAGTTCTGCACCCCACTTTTCTCCTGCCCCATCAGGGACTCTCTGTTATGTTCCCTGTTAGGGCAGTCATTGGTGGTAGCCGGGCACCACCTAGTTCTTCTGATCTCAAGCTGATGATGTCTCTGATTTATGTGGCCCTTTCTGCCTCTTGGGCTCATATTTTCCTTCTGTCTTTGGAGTTCTTCATTCTCCTTTATAGAGGCAGTTATCTTAATGAGACAGGATACAATCTGCAGGATTAGGTTGTACTTTGAGTCAATCTATTTTGAGATATAAAAGAGATTAAACAAGCAGAGAGAGGGACCTCCTACCACCAAGAAAGAAGAACCCGGAGTGGAGCACGTCTTTTGGATTCAGGGTCCCTGCACTGAGAACCTCCTAGACCCAGGAGAAGATAGATGCCAAGACATATGGAGATCTCCAAGGAACACCAGGCCCATGGATGTTGAAAGGAGACAAGGACCTTCCTCCAGAGCCGACAGAGAACACCTTCCCCTAGAGCTAGTACCCTGAATTCAGACCTCTAGCCTCCTAAACTGTTAGAGAATAAATTTCTGTTTGTTAAAGCCACCCACTTGCAGTATTTCTGATATAGCAGCACTGTATGGCTAAGACAGCACCTTAAAATTCTTCCAGTCTCTACCTATTATCCAATGCAAAACTGCTTCCACATCTTAGCTATCTGTTAGAGCAGTACCCAACTCTTCCGGTATTAAATTCTCTTAGTTATATCTAGCGCTGTTATAAAAAAAAAAAAAAATACCACAAGTGGGTGGCTTTACCAAGCAGAAATTTATTTTCTCACTTTAGGAGGCTTTTCATGTTGTTAGGTGCCCTTTAGTTGGTTTCGACTCATAGCGACCCTATGTATAACAGAGCAAAACAATGCACGGTCCTGTGCTATCCTCATAATCATTGCTAAGTTTGAGCCCATTGTTTCAGCCACTGTCACTCCATCTCACTGAGGGTCTTCCACTTTTCTACTGACTCTCTACTTTACCTAGCATGATGTCTTCCTCCAGGGAGTGGTCCCTCCTGATAACATGTTCAAAGTACGTGAGACAAAGTCTCACTATCCTTAATTCTGAGGAGCATCCAGTTGTACTTCTTCCAAGACAGGTATGTTCATTCTTCTGGCAGTCCATGGCATATTCAGTATTCTCTGCCAACAGCATAACTCAAATGCATCAATTCTTCTTCCTTTTCCTTATTCATTGCCCAGCTTTCGCATACATATGAGGCAACTGAAATACCATGGCTTGGGTCAGGTGCATATTAGTCCTCAAGGTGACATCTTTGCTTTTTGACACTTTAAGGAGGTCTTTTGCAGAGATTTTCCCAATGAAATATGTCATTTGATTTCTTGACTGCTGCTTGCATGGGCATTGATTGTGAATCCAAGTAAAATGAAATCTTTGACAACTTCAATCTTTTCTCTGTTTATCATGATGTTGCTTATTGGTCCAGTTGTAAGGATTTTTGTTTTCTTTATGTTAAGGTGTAAGCCATACGAAGGCTGTAGTCTTTGATCTTCATCAGTAAGTGCTTCAAGTCCTTTTTACTTTCAGCAAGGAAGGTTGTGTCATCTGCATATCGAAGGTTGTTAATGAGTCTTCCTCCAATCCTGATGTCCCATTCTTCTTCATGCAGTCCAGCTTCTCAGATTATTTGCTCAGCGTACAGATTGAATACATGTGGTGAAAGGAGACTACTCTGATGCATGCCTTTCCTGGTTTTAAACCATATGGTATCCCCTTGTCCTATTCAAATAACAGCCTTTTCATCTATGTATAGGTTCCACCGAAGCACAATTTAGTGTTCTAGAATTCCCATTGTTCACAATGTTATCCATAATTTGTTATGATCCACATAGTCGAATGCCTTTGCATAGTCAATTACACATCTTTCTGGTATTTTCCGCTGCCTTAGTTACCTCGTGCTGCTATAACAGAAATACCACAAGGAGGTGGCTTTAACACAGACGAATTTACTCTGACTGTACTTCTAAGACAGATTTGTTTGCAAGTAAAATTTTACTGAAGATAATTCAAAAAAGGTTGCAGCAGTACATCAACAGGAAACTGCTAGAAATTCAAGCCGGATTCAGAAGAGGACATGGAATGAGCGATATCATTGCTGATGTCAAATAGATCTTGGCTGAAGGCAGATGTCATGGATTGTGTCCCCGCAAAATATGGGTCACCTTAGCGAGACCATGATTAACAGTATTGTGTGTGGTTGTCCTCCATTTTGTGATCTGATGTAGTTATTTTGGGATGTGTTGTAAATCCTAACCTCTGTAGGGTCGCTATGAGTCAGAATTTACTCGATGGCAACCAGTTTGGTTTTATATGTTAATGAGGCAGGACCAGTGTGGGGTGTATCTTGAGTCCCAGCTTTACAAGATGGTATAACTCAAGTCACATCCTAGCTTAACTCACACTTTTACTAGAGATAAAAGGAGAGAGAAGCAAGCAGAGAGGAGAGTGACCTCACTACACCATGAAAGAAAAGCCAAGAGCTGAGTGAATCTTTGGAACTGGGATCCCTGCTCTGAGATCCTCCTAAACCCAGGGGAAGACTGATACCAAGACACATGGAGATAGAGATCTCCAAGGAACCAGGAAGCAGAAGACAAAGAGACAAGGACTTTCCTCCAGAGCCGACAGAGAGAGAAAGCCTTTCCCTAGAGCTGGCACCCTGAATTTGGACTTCTAGCCTCTTAAACTGTGAGAAAATAAATACTGTCTGTCAACTTGGCTAGGTCATGATTCCCACTATTATATGATTGTCTACCATTTTATTATCTGGTGTGATTTCCCTGTGTTGTAAACGCTACTACTATGATGTAATAAGATGGATTAGTGGCAGTTATATTGATGAGGTCTACAAGATTAGACAGTGTCTTTAGCTAATCTCTTGAGATATAAAAGAGAGAAGCAAGCAGAGAGACACAGGACCTCATACCTCCAAGAAAGCAGTGCTGGGAGCAGACCGCATCCTTCGGACCTGAGGTTCCTGTGCTGAGATGCTCCCAGACCAAGAGAAGATTGATGACAAGGACCTTCCTCCAGAGCTGACAGAGAAGAGAAAGCCTTCTCCTGGAGCTGACACCCTAAATTTGGACTTGTAGCCTACTGGACTGTGAGAGAATAAATTTCTCTTTGTTAAAGCCATCCACCTGTGGTATTTCTGCTATAGCAGGACTAGATGACTAAGACAGCACCTAAGAACAACTTGATGCACAGGCAGTATAAGGCCAGGAGGGAGGCGCCTAAGGCTCAGAATTTTAGCAGGCAAGACGACGACCCAGAGAGTGAGCACCTCCTTAAAATTTGCGCCCCAGGCGCCTCTATTTCTGGCCCTTCCTTGTTTAAAAAGTGGAATAAAGAGTCCGAAGGACACACACGGTCTGGGATGGTCTTTCCAAGTCTCAGGTGCAGTTAAGCCGCTCCACCGCGGTTGCAAAGTAACAATTGGTTCAACAGGAGTTGCCAAGTCAAACATGGTCATCACAAGTTCCGCTCTGAGATGATGAGTGTTGCATCTTGAGTAAGGGGAGCCACCGAAAGATAAAAAGAACTATCAGCTAGTTGGCGCCGGGAAATGTCGCGCCCTCCCTGGTTTATTGGGCAACTCGTAACGGCCGAAGATATATAATTAAATAGCCTTTTCCTATAACCTGCCTTCCTCTGGAAATTTAAGGGGCCCAACATGTTCCGGAAATACTTAAATGTCAACAGCGGGAACTGTAGCACTCGGCCCCAAACAATAATAACCGCGGCGGCACCCACGGCGCTCGGGGCAAGGGACTTTGCGCCTCTGCCGAATGCCGGTTTCGGGTGCGCAAGCTGGGTCCTTGGGCGACCGATGTCCGCGCACCGCCGCTTCCCAACCACAGCGAGGACACGGCTCTGCAGGGGACCGGTGACGCCCTCCTCCCCGCGGGTCTCGGAGAGCCACTATATGAGAAAGCCCGAGAAGGTGGCACATCAAGCAGACAGGCGCATCCGCGGACGGCCCATGTGCTCGAGGCCCCGTTGGCTGCGCTGCGCGGCGCGGCGGGAAGAAGTTTCAAAGGAAAGGTTGGGGGCCGGCTCCAGCCGCTCTGGCGGAATGAAGCTGCACTGCGAGGTGGAGGTGATCAGCCGGTATCTGCCGGCTTTGGGGCTGAGGAACCGGGGCAAGGGCGTTCGGGCGGTGCTGAGCCTCTGTCAGCAGACGCCTGGGAGTCGGCCGCGGCCCCGGTTAAGGGGCGAGCCCGGCGGCCCGCACTCCGCCTGCTTGCTCATCTCCACCCTGAAGGACAAGCGCGGGACCCGCTATGAGGTAGGTGGAGCCAGCAGGCCCTGCCAGGGAGGCGGGCTGCCCTTGCTCCTCGCGCGCCCGGCGTTTCCCGCCCCTGCTGTCCGTCCTGGGGGTTCCTGGGCGCCCTGTCCCTGAGCCCCATCACCACCGCGGGTCCGGGGTCCTGGGCTTCCCGCTACGGATTCGAAAGACGAAAGCTTTTAAGAGTGCACCGGATGGTTTTTCTTGCCGTTTTTTCATCTATCTTTCGCTCTCTCTTTTTTTACACGCAGGATTTTTCGTATTTGCATACTAGTTGTTGTTGACGTTAGGTACCTTCGAGTCGGTTCCGACTCATAGCGACACTATGTACAACAGAACGAAACACTGCCCGGGCCTGCGCCATCATCACAATCCTTGTTATGCTTGAGCCCATTGTTGCAGCCACTGTGTCAGTCCATCTCATCGAGGGTCTTTCTCTTTTTCGCTGACCCTGTACTTTACCAAGCATGATGTCCTTCTCCAGGGACTGATCCCTCCTGATAACATGTCCAAAGTAGATGAGACGTTGTCTCGACATCCTTGCTTCTAACGAGCATTCTGGTTGTACTTCTTCCAAGACAGATATGTTTGTTTTTCTGGCACTCCATGGTATATTCAGTATTCTTTGCCAACACCACAATTCAAAGGCGTCAGTTCTTGGGCTTCCTTATTTATCGTGTAGCTTTCGTATGCATATAAGGCAATTGAAAACACCGTGGCTTGGGTCTAGTGCACCTTAGTCTTCAAGGTGACATCATTCATTGCTTTCCAACACTATAAAGAGGTATTTTGCAGCAGATTTGCGCAATGCAATGCGTCTATTGATTTCTTGACTGCTGCTTCCGTGAGTGTTGATTGTGGATCCAAGTAAAATGAAATCCTTCGCGACTTCCATCTTTTCTCCCTCTATCATGATGTTGCTTATTGGTCCAGTTGTGAGGAATTTTGTTTTCTTTATGTTGAGGTGTATTCCATATTGAAGGCTGTGGTCTTTGATCTTCATCAGTAAGTGCTTCAAGTCCTCTTCACTTTCAGCAACAAGGTTGTGTCATCTGCATAACACAGGTTGTTAATGAGTCTTCCTCCAGTCCTGATGCCCTATTCTCCTTCATATAGTCCAGCTTCTTGGATATTTGCTCAGCATACAGATTGAATAGATAAAAGACAAGGTGGGCTATGATAACTGCTATAATAAAGGTAGAAGGAAAGTGCTATTAGTAGAGCATCAATAAATAAGAGATGAATTCTGATTGAATTGAAGAGATGGTGCCACAGGGCCTGAGACATAGTAGGTGCTCAGTAACCATTTGTTGGGTGAATTCAGGCGGTATTGAACCTAGACCTTGAAGCCTAGGTATTAGTGCTGAAAGTGAGAAGTGTCTTGGGACTCTTTCTTCACCCTCTATTATTCTGTCCCTTGACTTCAGCTACCACTCACCTGACTATAACTCCCAAATCTGCAACTTCAGCAAGTTCTGTCCTTAACTTCAGACTTGATTGAATCTGCTCTCTACTGAAAATCTTCAACTGGATATGTTGTAGCATTTCTAACGCAAAATATCTAAAAATTAATTTTCCTTGCTACTCCTAAATGTGCTTTTCTGCAGTGTTCTGTAACTCATTGATTAGCACCCCCATCCAGAAACCTGAAAAGCCTTGCCTCCCACATCCAATATATCATCAAATCCTTTCCATTCTACCTCCTAAGTATCTTTCAAATTTGTATAGTTCTGTCAGTCCCAGCTGCAGTCTAAGCCACCGTCATTCCTTGCCTGGCTAGTCTCTTAAGGGATATTCTTACCCCTACCCTTGTTCTTCCCTCATCCCATGCTTCCCTCCTCTAAAGTTCATTCTTTCCATTGTAGTTAAAGGGATCTTATGTTCCCCATCTTAAAATCCTTAGTGGATTTCATTGTTCTTATGATAAAGTAAAAAATTCTTAATATAGTTTACAAAATCTTTCACCGTCTAGTCTCTCCCTCTCCAGACTCACTTGCCTCTCTTTTCACTGGACCCCTTATCCTTGCTGAACTTTCAGCTCCTCACAGCTGCCAAGCCCTCTTTTGCCTTCAAAGCTTTGCACACGTTGTTCCCTTTTATTGGAATGTTACTCCCTTCCTCTTCCCCCTGTATCTTCACTTGCCTAACATCTAATCCTTCATTTATCACCTTTAAGATCTCCTGTGTACCCCTAGACTAGGTTATATTCCATTGCTGTAAATGGTCTTATAGAAGTCTGCGCTTTCCTTGTCTGAATATTTGTCACATTTGAAATTACTTGTTTAATACTGTCTCTCTCATGAGATTATAAACTCTGTAAGTGTAGTTACCATTCCTGTCTTATTCACCACTACGTCCCAAGCCCAAGTACCTGATAACATAGTGGCTCCTTAGTAAATCATTGTTGAAGCCCAAAGCAGAGCCAGCATCAGTCATGAAACGAAATTTTTTGAGCAGCAACTGTGTGTCAGTCACTCTTCTAGCTCTGGGAATACAGTAGTGAACAAGGGGGACAAACTTCTGCTTTTTAGGAGTTTATAATCTAGTGAGAGGTGTGCCCACCCTAGACTAATTGACTGGGGTTATGAAGGCAAAGTAACTACTATGGGAGGAGAGGAGGATTCGCTCAAACACAGGGGATTCTGTACCCAGAAGAGGACAGTGTTACTGGCAGAGAACAGAAGCACTCGCTGTGAGCTAGATAAGGTGTGTCACTAACCTGCTGCTTAAAAAACAAAACAAGACTATAAAACACTCAGACTTAAGGACTTAAAGCCAAACTAAAGGCTAGCAAAGTGACTGGCACATTCTAGTTGTAAGAAATGTTATTTAATAACAATACTTAGTTTTGTCCTTTTTTTCCATTTGTTTTAATCAGCTGAAGGAGAACATTGAGCAATTCTTCACCAAATTTGTGGATGAGGGGAAAGCCACTGTTCGGTTAAAGGAGCCTCTTGTGGATATCTGTCTAAGTAAGGTATGGTACTAAAAACATTAATGGTTAGGTTGCTTGACAATATTTTCTTTAAAGAAGGCTGTTTGAGCATAGTGGTATCCCATATAGCCAAGTAGAGATGGACTCTTGGCCGGTATGTTTGAAGAGGTGATGGCACAAGATGCAGCTTCCCAGAACAAGCGTCCTTATGTGCCTTCCAGAAGGGCAGAGTCAGCCTTTGTCAAGGAAGCTCAGGAGAGGAAAGGAAACTGCTACATTTACTTCTCTGCCCAACATGGAGCCTTAGGGTATTCTAAGACTCTGGAACTCTGTAAGGCAAGTGGTATAGCATACTTTGCCCACAAACCACAGGCTACATATCTAATTTTGGTGTAGAAAAGGTAGTAAAATGCAGTTAGAACCATCTTTTTTTGTACTTTCTTGTATTTACTGTAATCATTTTTAAAAATACATAAACCATTCAAATAAAAAGCCAATCTGTTTTCCTTCCCTGTCTCCCCTTCCTTTCTTCCCCCTTCCTGGAAGGCAGGAACAATGTTTTTTTCAATCTTGGTTATCCTTAACTCCAAGCAGAGTGTTTTGTAAACATTAATAACTATTTAAGGAATTTGAATTGAATGCAATAATTTTTCATACCTCCTCCTTGTTCTCATGGTTTTTCATTTTCTCTTGATCAGTCTATTCTTCCACTTTTTCTTTCTGCCAAAAAATATGCTGAGGTCTTACTAATTTAACAAATTTAATATAAAATAGACAGATTTCTGGAATGACAAAGCTACATCCGTGGCCCCCACTTTTTTACTGTCTCTTTTGACCTTCATTGTCACTGGTTTATTCAAAACACTATCTGACAGATCAATGATCTCCTTCCTATTTGCCGGTCAAATTGCCCTTACTTAGTTCTCTATGGAATTTAACACTGATGACCACCCCTTTCTCAATATAACATTTTCCTTTCTTGGCATCTGTGACAGGGCACTATCCTGGTTTACTTTCAGTTTTCTCAGCCACTGCTTTGTCTTCTATCCCTGGCAGTCTTTTTTCTACCCCCAGTCCTCTGCCTGTTCTCTACTCTGCCTCCCGTCAAATCCTCTTAGCTCCAAGTCTGTAAGTCTGACCCAGCTCTCTAGACTTTCCCTGCTCTAGTTCACTGTGTATACTGCTGCTAAAATAATAATTAGCTCTTGTCATGTAATTCTCATGCTCACAGTTCTTCAGTGATTTCCCACAGCCTGCCTGATCATTCCGTCCTCTTTACTTTGACATCCGAGTTCATCCACAATCTAGCCCCACACTCTATTTCCAATCTTCTTACTCCCCTACAAAGTTCCTGCATTCCAACCAGGTAGGACCACATACATAGGTTCCCAAACATATTGAAACTCACTTATCCTTCACTAGGAAACTGTAAAGTGTCCTACAAGTATTAACTATTTTTATTTATGACTTAGGTCATGTGCCACTTTCTCTATAAGGTGATTTGTCTGCCTGGCTGGAAGCAATCTCCTTTGTCTTTGATATTTTGTACCACTCTGTTAGAACCTCTCATTTGACATTCAGCTCATTCTAGTGGATATTATTTGCATGTATATCTTTAACTCTCCTACTTATATCTTTCTCAAGGGGGTGCCCTTCTACCTTTCATCTTTGTACACTTCACTCTGCCCAGCACAGTATTTTGCACAAAGTAGGTGCTCAGTAATATTTATTGAGCTGATGGATAAATGAATAAAATTGACACCGCTAAGGTGACCTTTAGACAGGGCCAGCACTTTGCACAACTCCTAGTCTTTGTGAATGGCACCCATCCCATAGGCATTTTGCGGTACACAGCATGGGTGGCGTATCTCGGAGGCACTGGAGAGTTGGGTCAGCTCACCTTAAACCCAAATCTTATGTGGAATCTTGTAGTGCATTCTGTCTTATTTTATACCCTAATGTTGGTTTCTGTTTTGAACAATGCATCTGTCAACATAATTTTTTCAGAAGCTTTTAAAGTTTTTTTGTAACTATATTGAAATTCAGTGAAAATAAAATATTAAAAATTGCTTTTTTACAGCCATTTTCAATAAATGTATTACTTTTGGGTAGTATGTAACTCTACAGAATTTGTTATAGGAAGAACTAGCCATGCACACATTATCTGAAATAAAATTTATAATCGCACAACTTATTTTTTATTTAGGCCAATTCCAGCAGTTTAAAGAGTTTCCTGTCAGCTGTGAGACTGGCTCATCGAGGCTGTGATATTGAGACGCCACTTTTAACCCTCACACCAGTGAAGACTTCAGAATTTGAAAAATTTAAAACTAAAATGGTTATCACTTCCAAAAAGGATTATCCTCTCAGCAAGAACTTCCCATATTCTCTGGAACATCTTCAGGCTTCTTATTGTGGGCTTGTCCGAGTTGATATGCGCATGCTTTGCTTAAAAAACCTTCGGAGATTAGACTTGAGCCATAACCATATAAAAAAGCTCCCAGCTACAATTGGAGACCTCATCCACCTTCAAGAACTTAACCTTAATGACAATCACTTGGAGTCCTTTAGTGTAGCCTTGTGTCAGTCTACACTCCAGCAGTCCCTTCGGAGTTTGGATCTCAGCAAGAACAAAATTAAGGCACTCCCTGTGCAGTTTTGCCAGCTCCGAGAACTTACAGACTTAAAACTTGACGATAATGAACTGATTCAATTTCCTTTCAAGATGGGACAGCTGAAAAACCTGCGTTTTTTGTCAGCAGCTCGAAATAAGCTTCTGTTCTTGCCTAGTGAATTTAAAAATTTATCGCTTGAGTACTTGGATCTTTTTGGAAATACGTTTGAACCACCAGAAGTCCTACCAGTCATAATGCTGCAAACACCATTAACTTTATTGGAATCTTCTGCACGAACCGTATTGCATAATAGGTAAGACTTTAGTAGTCATAAAATGTAGTGCCTTTGATAACATCATGGTATTCTCGTCATATTTAAAATAATATTCAAAGTCCCTAACATAGTTAACAGTGCTGTACACAATCTGATCCCTTGCTACACTTGCTATTTCTTATCTCTGCTTAGAATACTTCTTCTCCAGAAAGTCCAGTAGTTCACTCTCTCCTTCATTCAGTCTCTGCCCAAGTGTCACCGCAGGAAGCCTTACCTGACCACTGTATCTAAAGTTTTGTCCCCTACCCCTTCCATTGTCTTATTTTTTGGCATAGGACTTACTATGTAGGATTATGTATTTTTTAATATTTGCTTGTTTATTGTCAGTTCTCCCCCACTAGAACGTAATATCCACGAGGGCATGGACTTGTTTTATACAACACTACGTCCCTAGGGTCTAAAATGTGGCATCCCCTGCTCCTGGCATATATGAAAACCAAACCCGATGCCGTCAAGTCAATTCCGACTCATAGCGACCCTGTTGGACAGAGTCGAACTGCCCCATAGGGTTTGCAAGGAGAGGCTGGTGGATTCGAACTACCGACGTTTTGGCGAGCAGCCAAGCTCTTAACTACTGTGCCACCAGGACTCCCCTGGCATATGTTAGGCACTCCATAAATATTTGAATGAATGAAGGACCTAGTGCATTGTTTCTCAAAGTATGGTCCCCCAACCAGCAGCATCAGCATCATTTAGGAACTTGTTGAGATGCAAGTTCTTGGGCTGCATCCCAGACCTACTGAATTGGAAACGCTTAGACTGGGGCCCAGCTGCGTTTTGATAAGCACTCCAGGTGATTCTGATGTACCCTAAAGTTAGAACTACAGGCATAGTAAAGAGAGTGTAGGCTTTGGAGTCAGTCGTGGGTTTGATTCTTGGCTTCACTCCTTTTACTGTGTTGTATGACTTTAGCAAGTTGTTTAACCTCTATGATTCAATTTTCTCATTTGTGAAACAGGAGCAATAGTACCCACTTTACAGAGTTGTTACAAGGGTAAATGAACTAATGTGCACCAAAGCATTTGGCATGTAGTAGCACTCAGAAGCTGTTGATTCTCTTCCACTAGTCTTTGAACAATAATTGCAGTTGATTCATGAGATACTGAACTCCAGTTATTCATTTTGTTCATGCGTCTTTCATAAAGGAGTGAAAGCTTAGATATAAAATTATTATTGAGTGCCTGTAAAAGGGTAGAAAGATCATATTTCAAAGAAGAGATTCTTAACTTTTGGGACGGGGAGCGGCTCTTAAAACTGACAAAGTTGTGGACACGGAAAAATGTACACGTGAGTACACACAAAATTTTGCATACTACTTTGTAATGCTCATGGATCCACTGAAACCCAATTCAATTCTTCCACCTCACCATCCCAAGAATAAGAACTCTTATTCTAAAGTGATTTTCAAACCTTACTTCATATTGAGAATCACCTGAGAATCTTCGAAAAATTCTGATGATCAGTCCCCACTCTAGACTAATTAAATCAGAATCTCTGAGGGTAGGGTCCAGGTTTTGTTAGTTTGTAACCTCCCAGGAGACTCTCATACGCAGCAAACTAGGATTGAGAACTACCATTTTATACCCGTGCCTCTCAAATTTTAATGTGCATTCAAATCACCTGGAAGTCTTGGTAGCCGATTCTGTTTCGGAGGTCTGGGGTGGAGATTCTGCATTTCTAACAAGCTTCCACGTGAGGCTGAGGTTACTAGTCCATTGACCACACTTTGAATATTAAGGACCTAAAAATAATTAAGAATTCACTGTTGTTTTAAGTCGGTGATTCTCAAACTTGAGAGTACATCAGAATCACACTTATTAAAACACAATGCTTGTTATCTGCCTCCTTTGCAGTAAGACCAGAAGAACTAGATGGTGCCTAGCTGCCATTAGTGAACATTTTGATCAGATTCTATAGAAGAATCCTGATAAAAAGGGGGAAAATGCAGAATATAATTTCAAATTTCATGGAATGCAGTCTTTCTGGAGCCGTGGAGGCCGATGAACTCCTGTAACTATTGCCCTAAGATAATCTTTAAACTTTAAACCAGAAATATCCCCTGAAGTCTTCTTAAAATCAAACAGTAGTTTAGCTTAACTAGTTTAACTAGTTAAGAATGCCTGCCTTGAGCATTATGCTCTTTTAAGATCTATCTATATCGATCAAATTGACAACAGCAACTTGAAAGATTAGATAGGAAGCTTAGGGGGCAGTGAATTTATGTCAGTGGGGGAGAAACAACTCAGAAAAGGAGGGTGAGAATGGTTGCACAACTGAAAGAATAATCAATGTCACTAAAGTGTACATGTAGAAACTTGAATTGGTGTGTGTTTTAGCTAGGTATATTCTCGACAACAAAATAAAATTAATTATTTTTTTAAAAAAAGCTTGTTAAAACAGACTGCCGGACCCTACCCTGATGCCGAGTTTGGGGTGGGGAGTCACAGAAATTGCACGTCTAACAAGTTCTCAGGTGGTGCTGATGCTGCTAGTCAGAAGACCACTGATTTAAGGACCCCTTTGAGAACCACTGGAAACCCAGGTGGTGTAGTGGTTAAGAGTTCAGCTGCTTACCAAAAGGTTGGCAGTTCAAACCCACCAGGCACTCCTAGGAAACCCTATGGAGCAGTTCTACTCCATCCTATGGGGTCGTGACAATACATGTAAGTGCTTTTATAGTGCCTGGCTCATAAAAGGTCTCAATAAATATTACTGGATGTATAAATACAAGTAATTTGCTTATCTAGCTCTTAAAAATCAATCCATGAATGCTGTTATCATTAGCTATGGAAGAGCCTTAAATAAGATAGATGAGAAATACAGATGCCTGTATCCCACCTTAGACCAACTAGTTCAGATTCTGCAGAGACGGGCTCCTATCATATGCTGTATATTTTTCAAAAATCTCCAGAGGTGATATTGATGATTCAGGTGAAGACCACTGATTTGAAGGAACCCTAAATGGTGTTTTTTGACAATTTATTGCTCCTGAGATTCTTGTTCTGTGCTTTATCTGAGTCTTAAATATGAAACAAATAATATTCAAATTTGAAAAGTATGTCCAAATGAGAAATATAAACATTTTTCAAGGATTTGAAAAGACCATGACGAATTACCTAAATGATCAGGTGAAAACAGACTGAAAACCAATGGGGGAAAATGAGGACTTGGATGGAAAAAAATATTGTTTTTATTGTTAGGTGCCAACAAGTTGGTTCTGACTTATAGTGACCCTATATACAACAGAACAAAACACTGCCCAGTCCTCCGACATCCACGCAGTCGTTGCTACATTTGAGCCCATTGTTGCAGCCACTGTGTCAATCCATCTCATTGTGGGTCTTCCTCTTTTTTGCTGACCTTCTGCTTTACCAAGCATGATGTCCTTCTCCAGGGACTGGTCCCTCCTGATAACATGTCCAAAGTATGTGAGATGAAGTCTTGCCATCCTCTCTTCCAAGGAGCATTCTGCCTGTACTTCTTCCAAGACACATATGTTTGTTCTTCTGGCAGTCCATGGTATATTCAGTATTCTTTGCCAACACCATAATTCAAATGTGTCAATTCTTTGATCTTCCTTATTCATTGTCCAGTTTTTGCATGTATATGAGGCTATTGAAAATACCATGGCTTGAGTCAGGCTCACCTTAGTCCTTAGTGTGACATCTTTGCTTTTTAACACTTTAAAGAGGTCTTTTGCAGCAGATTTGCCCAGTGCAGTATGTCATTTGATTTGATTGCTGCTTCCATGGACATTGACCGTGGATCCAAGTAAAATGAAGTCCTTGACACCTTCAATCTTTTCTCCATTTATCATGACGTTGCTTATTGGTCCAGTTGTGAGGATTTTTGTTTTCTTTATGTTGAGGTGTAATCCATACTGAAGGCTGTGGTCTT